CCCACTGCCTCATGGTACAGCCTGGGGTGTCCCCCCCGCACCTCCTCCACCCCGTGGTACCGCCCAGGCCCCCTCACCAGCCCCATGGTACAGCCCGGACCCCCGCCATGCCTCATGGAACAGTCCAGGCCCCCTATCCCCCCCTCTCCCCAGTTTCCGGCCGACACCCTGGCACCCCCACCCCCCTGCGGCGGAAGGCCCCGTGTGCGCGCGCACGCGTGTGCAGGGCAGGGCAGGGCGGTGCTGAGCCCCCACCTTGCTTCCACCCTCTGACAGCTCTGACAGCGCCCCCCGACCCCCATGGCAGCGCGCGGGTGAGCCGGAGCCCCCTCAGCGCGATGGACGACGCGGAGTCGCGCTTCCTGCACCTGCTGCAGCCCATCCGCGACCTCACCAAGAACTGGGAGGTGGACGTGGCGGCGCAGCTGGGCGAGTACCTGGAGGAGGTGCGGGCACGCGGAGCGCGGGGCACGCAGCTTTCGCGCAGGGCCGTGGCACGGAGCCCGGTGCAAGAGCCTGCCGGACCGGGCTGCTCGTGCCACGCGTCCGTGCCGCTCCTCCCCGCCGTGGCCAGCAGCCCCTGCTCCTCTCTTCCCTGCAGCTGGACCAGATCTGCATCTCCTTCGATGGCGGCAGAACCACCATGAACTTCATCGAGGCGGCGCTGCTCATCCAGGGCTCCGCCTGCATCTACAGCAAGAAGGTGAGCGCCCGGAGCGGGGGCCGTGCCGGAGCCAGGTCGCGGGCGCCATGGGGAGCTTCGCCAGGCACGGCAGTGGCTGCCTCAGGCCCTGGTCTCGCTCTGCGGAAGCTGAGTTCGGGGTTCTGCCGCCCGGGAGAAAACCCCTTCCAGGGGCTGGGTTGGCGGAGAAGACAGCCTGGGGGGAATGTCGTGGGCAGCTGCGGGGCCCAGCCCTAAGGCCCGTTGCTTTATCCCGGCAGGTGGAATATCTCTACTCGCTGGTCTACCAGGCCCTCGACTTCATCTCCAACAAGAAGTAAGTCAGGGCCTGAGTAAGTCTCCTGCCGACTGGGCTCAGCGCCCCTCATGTTGGCAGGACAGACCCACTTCGGTGCCGTGCCATGTGTCTCTGGAAGCATCCTCCTTGCCGCGTGCCCCCTGGTGTCCCCAGCGCTGCCCAAAGCGCTCCCCACGTTGTCTTGGGGCTGGTGCCAGCTGCGGCTCTTACCAAAAGCCTGGAAGGCCGAGGCTCTGACTGCCCTGGTGTGAAACCGGCACCAGGCTCCTGCCCCGTAGCCGACTTACCCAGTGAAACCTACTGTGTTGGAGCTGGCACCTGTTTGCCAGGACGGGTCCTTGCTGCGCCCTGTTGGGTTGGGCCCGGCGGGATGGGCCCTGCGGCGGCTGGTGCATTGGAGCTGCTGCAGTTGGGTGATGGTGACCGTCGTGGAGCCAGACTTGGTCTCCCCTTCCCTCCCCATCACGTGTTTCCTGGCTCTGAAACGTCCCGGTGGCATGTTGCAGCCTGATGCCACGGGCCACCGGGGACTGCAGCTGGCGGCTCTGGCATGGAGCTGCCTCCACAGGTGTGCGTCCGGAGCATTTTGTGGCCACCCCGCACCTCTGCCCTGTCTGCCAGCAGGAAGAGACCCTGGCACATGCCTGCCTCCAGTGCAGCAGGCTGTGGCCCCGCTTCCTCCTCTGGATCCCGCTGCCGTCTGTGCCCCTTGCTGGGGGATGGCTCGGCGTTGGCTGTCTCTGGAGAAGCCGTGTGCCCATCGGGGGACTCGCCCTCTTCATTTGCCGTCTCTCTCCTGGGCGACCGAGGCCAGGCCTGTGTCTGACACGTTTGCTCGTGGGAAGGGCCAGAGATGCCTGGCAGCTGCATGCGTCACCTGCCCTGGAGCTGGGGGAGACAGGCCGCGATTTCCTCAGTGTCGTTGGTTGGGGTCGCACTGATGCCCCAGTCACAGCCCCGGGGAGCTTCTCTGCTGGCAGCAACAGTTTCAGACTCCTGCACTCTCTTGTTTTCCCTCCTGACCCAGGCGGGACAAGCAGCCTACGTCTGTGGGAGAGGATGGCCACGATGCTGACGCCACCGTTAGGACCAGGACGGAGGAGGAAGAGGTAGGACGGCTGGTGTGGGGCAGGCGAGCCCTCGCTGCGCCGGGGAGGTGTGCAGGGAGGTCCAAGGTTGTCCTAGGCTGTCAGCAGCTTCTTGTGGACTGTCTAGTGCTCTTGGCCAGGTGCAAGAGCTCGTTGGGGGCTCGGAGTGGATACCGGCAAACCCGCCTGTCAGCATCCCAGACGTGCTGTCTCTACCCAGCTCTTCAGGCCCTGCGCTGGCCTGCTCAGTGCTCGGTTTCTCTCCGCACAGTTCCTCTCACTGGATGACATTCAGAACGTGTCTGCAGGCAGCGTGAACATGAGGAAGGACCATCAGCACAATGTAAGAGATACCGTCTCCAGCCCCGGCCTCTTGTACCCCCTTCCTGGCAGGGGGTTTTGAGTGGATCCCACCTCAGCTGGGAGCACGGGCAGCTGCACGGTGCACTCCTCGCACAGGGCTGGGGGGAGGGAGCCAGAAACCTTGGCCATTAGCTGTTGGGGGGTGAGGGAGCCTTTGGAGCTCCTGGCTTGGGCCTGTGGTGTCCTGGCAGGATGGAGCGACAGGAGGATTACACAGCCTTGTCTTCACAGACTGTGAACATCGTCCCCTTGACTCCCATGGCCCTGGTGCCTCCGGAGGAGGCCGAGAAGAAGGGCAACCCCCTGTTCAGGTAGAGTTTAGCTTCGTGGTGCCTTTCCATCGCTGCTTTCGTGATGGGCTTGGGGGAGGCACCGGGGCCCCACGTGGTGTGATGCTGGGTGCCTGCAGGAGCAGGCAGACACGGGGCTGGGTTCCAGGGTGATCCCTCCAGCCCCATGTTCTGTGCCGGCTGGGATGGGACACAGGGTCTGCCCATAATGGGTCCTTCCTCCTCCTCCTCCTCCTAACGCCCACGCTGTGTGCAAGAACCCCCTGTTCTGCCGTGCCCCAGCTCCTGGGAGCTCCCCTCACATGAGTCTTCCCCTTCTCAGCCGGAAGGGAGAGATCCTGGCCAGCCGGAAGGATTTCCGCATGAACACGTGCACCCCTCACCCCAGCGGAGCCTTCATGCTGGAGCTGGCCGGCCTCTCGCCCATGCAGCACCTAGAGGTGCGGCACCAGGATGGGAACCTTGGCATGGCGGCAGGTACGCAGCGGGGTTGTTGTGATCAGCCCCATGTGGTTTGTTTTCATCCCTGGCTATTAGCACGTGGTACTTAAGCGTAAAGAAATGACACAGGGAACATAGCTAGAGGCTTGGATTGCA